TCGTAATGGTGGATTCCATAAGAGCGGTAAAGTTGGGCGGGTAAAATCGATCCAAATGTGATTAAACTCACGGTGCAAGGCGTGGAATTTGTAGCTCAACTGGTAGAGCATTGGTTGTGTAAAGGCCTTCCCTACTATGCGGGCTCAAATCCTGCTGAATGCCGCGAGTTGTTTTTCACAATTGGGTCAACTAAATTAACCAAATCTGCCAAACCTCCCAAATAAGTAGCTAGATTGGATGCAAGGACACTACAGGGAAACAAGTACGATCTCAAATCCCGGCTTCCGGTGAGGCCGGGTAGCTAAGATGGCTAGAGAGCTGGCTGTAGTAGACCTTTTTCCTGGCTGGCGTGGGTTCGAATCCCGACGAGGTCGCCAACATTTTTTTGCAAGTGGGTCAAATGAATTATTCAAATCCGCCAAACACCTAATAGTAAAGTGTACGTAGTAGACACCTGCCGGATTGTAGATGAACTGCTTAGGAAATCCTGACCGGATAGTCACTGTTGGGCAGTCAGAATTTGTGGATTTCGTACGTTGCTGTAGGCTATACGGGCAACTTGACTCAAGTGTGATTAAACTCACGGCAACTGATGGGAGCATTTTAGCTCAGTTGCCTAGAGCGTTGGCTGTACTGAAGTTTCCCCTTTGTTGTCGTTTCTTACAATTGGGTCAAATGTCCTATCAAAATCATTTTAAGTGTTTAACATAGGGAAAGATACGTTGAAACGGTCTACTTTCTGCATATAGGTAATTGAGAAACACAACGAGCAGTTTGAGCAATATGTCAGCGTTTATATAGTGTACTATATACAAAAAATATTTTTTAGGCTTCACTGTGCTGACATCGTTAAATTTAGTCAGTTATTTGAATGGACAATCAGTACGCGTGTCTAAAACTTGAATCTGCCCATGTGACACGAATTTTCGTGCCCTCGAAATTTTTGCTCTGCTTAAGAAAGTAATGGTTATTGTGTGCGCTCATTTAGCCAGAGGTCGTTCATTATTAATTTTGGTGTTTTGGTGGATGCACTGGAACTGATTTCTGATTGGTTGGTGATTAGTCTTTTATTTAGACGCAGTTCATGGATGAGACAAGCTACTATAGACACGCACGACCACCTAGTGAACCGGGCAGTTAAATGCATTCCCCAACTGTTCCGCTGACGGTTGTAAAAGGCCGACGATAGTAGCTGCCAAAGTTCAAAACGTACAGTACGACCTAGAATTCGTGTACCATACGGCTAACAAAACGTATGTACTGTAAAAAGTGGATACTTAATAATTATCCTTTATTTTGACTGACTATAAATTCAACTATATTTTATGGAAAACATTAACGAAAAAATATGTCTTGTGCTTGTTTGGTATCTAACTACGACTTCCTTAAATTTTAAACTTGAAGAAAGGGTATCTTTCGGTTTTAAGAAGCTTCTAATTATGAGCTTTTCTACGACTGGGAGGTGTTCATTCATTATACATCACATTCCTCTATTTATTAATGCTGCCCATAATATATGCAGCACGTTCTACATCTGTTGCAATATTTTATGAATATGATATAGTTTCTTCGTCAAACCGTAGTCAAAAATGCACTTTTCCTTAAATAGGATGTACACAGCGCGCAGTTTGTAGATCTTGAATTCAGGCGTAGCAGTAGGAAAGTTTCAAAGTTATTCCGAAATGTAGAATTTTTTTTAAAACCGAAACATACCATTTCTTCAAGTATACAATTCAAAGAAGGCGTAATCTGCAACCAAATGAGTATGAAATATAATTTTTCCATTTATGCTTTCCATGAAATGTATACGAATTTATAAAGGCAGTCAAAATCATCGATAAAAATACAGACTACTAAAGTAGCAATTTTTTACAGAATCAATTTTTTCTAAGCGGTAAGAAAGAAGCGCATTTCACAGCCGGCATCCTATCCTGACTGAAGTGACTTGAGAATGCGCTACAGGATAATCAGTATCACAACCTTACTCAATGCCAAATGGCGAAAGAGTAAAAATGTTTCGCATATGTCGGTATGTTACACGAATTCTAGGCCGTATCGTATTTGCAGGAGCAATGCCTATTTCCGGGCGCTTAAAGGATTCAGGCCCAAGATGCGTTTCGCCAGGCCAGGCCAGGCCAGGCCATGACACCCTACAAGCAGAGGACTCGCTTGAAAATTAACTCCGATCAGGGAGGCATTATTCTGCTTCTGAAACACCAGGCAGAGTAAAAAGATGAATGAATGTGGAGGTTTTGTCTCCCCTTTACTCCCTCAACGCCTTCGGAGGTTTTACAAAGGACAAGGTCCAAACAATGGCCACCCTGGCACTCACAAAAACGCTGTCTGCCAAAACAGAAACCGTACTTTCGGAGCAGGCCTGAAAAGGACCACCAGCAGAGAGAAAGAGGGAGGTAAAACTGGGGTGGCAACGCCCAAACGACGTCACCGGGTGTAGTCTCTCTGGGGGGCACGGCAACTGTTAGACGGATCGACGGAGGGGGCGGACTTAGTTGCCCCCTGCGCGACCGACGACATAGGCGAGACTGTGGAATGGGGGAGGTGAGGTTAATTGGAACTCACGTTGTTGGCGGTGTTTCCAGTGCCAGTAACGCGAATAAAGGTGACCGGTTGCAGCGGAAACTTGATGGTCTGCCAGGAGCGACAGTGCATCTGACTGGCGTCGAACACCATGCGCCAGACTTGACGATCCAGTGACACCTCCACGGTGTAGCTATAGGCCCGACTGTCTAGATCCCAGAGTAGGAATCTGTGCGGGGTGGGGGAAAAAGGGAGAGAACGCAGGGTCAAACGGGAACAAACATATAACAGGCGGGGGGGGGAATAAGCGAATAGGCTAATTTCTAGGAAGCCGAAAGAAGATGCGATGGCTGCAGCAAGGAGTTTAGTGCCCTGACGTTTCGGATTCTAACTCGGG